AGAGTCGTAAGAGCATCCATTGAAAAACATGACTTCAACCATCATTTGATTCTTGGAAGATGAATGCTTGTTGATTGATTCTTGATGGTTGACATTGATCATTGATTATATATATTATATATATATATAATCATTGATGAATGCTTGTTGATTATTGCCGTTGATCAACGTCAACCAATGAGTCAACCGTTAGCAGATTGGCCAAGCGACCAAGCGCTCCCGCCAGTTTGGGCCCTCCAATGGCTGGTGCCTTCAAGAGGTGCCCCTGGAAAGTTCTGCTTGTTCTGAGGTTTTAAACCCCAATCCAACATAGATCCATAACGTTTGATGTTTTGATATCTTGGATCTATGGGGACTTCTGTTTCTGACATCTGACTATCAATAGATACAATATATATATATATACATACACACACACACCATAATATCTATTGATATTTGGGAGTCTTATGTTTTTGAATCAAGAGCCAGATCAACATCTCTGTCACCATGCAAACCAGTCGCAAGGCGGAACATTGAGCCTTCAGAGTTCCGACGCTTCTATGATCGCAACGACTTGCCGATCCAGGCGGGGGTGATCGAGGTCGCTGGGGAGGTCACTGGTTACTGGTTCAATTCCAGTTTGGTAATTTTGATGAGGAAAATCCACGAAGAGAACTGGAGAGGACATAAAAACTCCAAATTGGATGCTGGCATGGTTGGTGAACAAGACTCACACCCTATATCTACCCGTAAGACAGCCCACATGCCGCCAGATCATGCACACGGGCACCCAGAACCGCATTGCATGGAAGGCAGGGCTTTGGTGCCACCGGCCTCGGTTTCTCTTGGGGTCGGTTTTGTTCATGGTCGGTGTGGCAGGTGGATGTGGAGAAGTTGGACTACCATCACTATTTGCCCATCTTCTTCGATGGGTCAAAGCCTAAGGTTATGCCAAGGTGGACTGAGGGTGTCCATGTGGTGCGCTGGCCATGGTCATCAGTGAGGCTTCGAGAGAAGGAGGAACCCTACCGATTCTTCGCCGTGGAGGGGGTCTACAACCTCTTAGAAAAGGCCTCCAAATCATTCCAAATCCATAGATGGTGAAGGGTTGAGAGGATCTTAGGGTGGATGAATAAACTTAATCAACTTGCTGTGCGAGAATGTATCTGACAAGATTTTGGCGGATGACTTGTTGTATGTTATGGACAAAGGCTCAAACAACTCCAGGTCCTTCAACTTCACTCAGCCTTCCACCTCTGCCCAATTTCGACTCGAAGTCCATACCCCAAACGCAGGGCGGATCAAAGATCTTGCCAGTAGTGCCGCAGCTCATTATTCCCATCAAGAAGGCACAGCTCAGGGGAACGGATCACATTTCAGTAGATAAACCACGGTAAGCCATGGTAAGCCATGGTAAACCCAAGAATAACCTCCGAGTTGGTGTGGTTTGTACACCGCAAATGGAACATCGGCGAACATCGGGTTTGGTTCTCTGTATTTGGTGTTTAGTATGTTTCTCACATACTTTCTCCGCCAGCTCCGCCCAATCAGCCAGGCATTGAACACGTACCGCCTGGCGATGTTTTTAAAACCGTTGCTGGGTGTGTTGGAGTGGCATGGATGGCATGGGTGGCATGGGTGGCATTCGTTGGAGACAAGTTTTGTTCATGCCAGGCGCGATGGTGAAGTCATGGTCACCACAATGAAGGTGCCGTTGCTGCGAAAAGAGGGATGCGCTGGTGCGGATGAGGTTGTAAGATGTTTTAAGATTTCAAGTCTCTGAAACTTCCAGAGAGCATAACAAAATATAACAAACCTTCAACGCTTGGTGGTGTGGCCAAGACACAGGGATCCTGGCTGTATCTGGCAGTTCAGGTGCTCCAAACTTTGGTACTATCCGCAGAGATGGTGGGAGAGGCAGCGTTTCAGATTCAATGCACTTAACGTCAAATCATAGAAGAAGTGTGACAGACACTGTAAACAAATTGTAAACAGGTATACTGATGTATACTGTATACTCAGTGACTCAGTGACTCAGTGTTTTTGAATTTGGAACCACAGGCAGTGGTGCATCCACAGCTGTTACCTGGATGGATTTTGTCATAGCCAAGCGAGGCGCTGGTTCCATACTATCGGCAGATCCTCCCAGTGCTGGGCCCAGACGAGGGCCAGTTAAGGATTGAGCCACAAGTGGGAATTGGGTCATAAATTCATGGCTTGAAAAGTTTTGAAATGTCATGCCGTACATTTGCTCCCTCTTGCGGGTTGTTTTGCAATGTGGTGCGAAGCTTTTTGTCTGCAAAAGAGACAGATACTCCCAGTAGGAAAGAAAGGAGAAGAACAGGAACACAGAAAGAAGAAAAGACAGCGGTGAGTTCCATAGTTGGCAATCACCTGTGTCAACAGAACCAGTGCCCCGCAAGTTGAGTTGTAGCTGTGGAGGATCTAGTCTGATCTTGATTGCACATTTTCTCTATGTTTACTCTCTCGTGGCCTACGGCCCATTTCGTTTCCTCAGATTCCGAGGGTGGCCTTCACACATGCCTACAGATGCGCAGGGAATAATTTTGCCCAGGTCTGGTGACAGTCCAGGTATCATGGGAAAAATCCACAGTAGATCCTAACAAGGTGAAGGCTTCTTTTCATTCAAAGCCATTGGCCCAAATCTTCAGAGGTCAATTTTGCCCTTTATACTTCAGGCTCCTTCACCCAGATGGGTTCCAATGCCTCTGGTGAAGTGTGTGACCACTCAGGGGTCCCCAACAGTGAGCCAGGGCCCTGCGGATTTTCGGGTGAAGACCTTTTTGCTTTGGGAGCCGCCTTTTCGGAAGGAGATCCAGTGGACACATCCTCTGGGGATGCCATGCAAATGTGGTCTCATCCAGACGCTGGTGAAGGATCAATGCGAGGAAAAGAAGATGGCTCCTGGGGCTTCAATGGTGACAATGATCATGGCATTGGAAAGCATCGCGGACAGGATGCGGACTCGTGCACAGTGATGTAAAGGCAGTGCTAGCAATCAGGTACAGCAATTTGAAGAGGGCTTCCAGCAGCGAAGCCAGATGATGTCACCAGACAGAGTGTTGACATCACAACCCACAGTGACCAGTGACCACAGTGCCTTTGTATAAAAAGGGAATTAAACAAAATCAGGACCCTGAGGCCATGCCACACTTTCAAGGTGGACCTTTTGGAGCACTCATGCCAGATGTGACCGAGGTGCTCAACATCTTCAAATCTGCAACAAAGAGCACGTTTGATCAAATGGCCTGGGGCCCAAATTCATTGCTGGCATCCCTGATGCCATTAAAACATGAAGTCAGGATGAATATATGAAGTAGATTGAAGTAGTATAATTATACATGAATGTATATTTGATGGACAGAATACATCATTTGCTGTGCATGATCTCAAGACACTGCCAGTGCAACCCCATTTGTGAACGGCGGGGTGGTGGTTTCAAATATGTTGCTTTGCATTTTCATCCCCACTTGGCATGATGAATCCAATTCGCACATTTGGGTTTGTCTGAAAATAGGGTAAGCTCCCTCAATCCCAGGGTTTATCATCATCTCAATTTTCTCATTAAAATCGTTCTTTTGGGGTATACCGTATACCATGGTATACCTCATTTTCAGACACATTTTCAGATCATGTCAGATATCTTTAGGAATCTTTGGTGTGGACCTGGCGACGAAACCGATGGCTTCAGCCAGGACTACGGTCAGCGGAAGCGCATGGACCTGGGCGCGCTCATTGACGAGACTTTGGAGCCGCCGATGGGATGGCTTGGGGTGCTGAAAGGTTTGGAGAGGACATTTTGGGGTGAAAACCAGAGGGCAATCGGAAAACCTCAGATATATGATGTTTTTTTTTAAATATTTTTTTAGTGGTTTTGAAATAGACATCGGGCGGTGATGTACTCAACAAGAATGAAGATGTAATCAACAGAAATTGGAGATGGACAAAAACAAGGAGAACATAATCAGCAGAAATCAGGGCATGACCACTCCCAGCAGGAGCGATCAGGGACATGGGGTTGTGGCGCAAGATTTAAGGGCCCCCGTGATGCGCAGGAGATATTGGAAACTCATGGAGGAGAAGATGCCTTCATCAACATCAAGTGCTCCCTTGGTAGCGGCAGAGATGTTTTTTTCTTTGTGTTCCTGAGCTACTGAAAGGTGATTGGTGAACATGGTGCCAGTTTACTTGGTTTTTGCTATGATTTTGTATCCCTAAAAACACCTGAGGATTCCATCAAGGTGATGTCACTCCGTGGCGGTACTCCGTACTTTTGTGCAGGTACATGATCCCAACCTACGAGTCTTGTGTCTCGGTGTGAGGCGAGGCAGATTGAGGAATCTTAGGTGGTGATGGAAAAAGCATCAGCTTCATCAGCAAACCTTGGAGTCCAAGCCCCAGAAATGGCTTTCATTGGATGCTAACAGGTGCCCCTGATGTCTTTTTGCGCCCTGCGACATGTGACGGGGGCGTTCGGCAGCGATGGAAGGGCGCTGTCTTCGCTAGGTTCACGATTTCTAGGGGAGAACTGGATGACCATCTTACTTGGAGTTGTTGGGTGTTTTGTCTTGCGATGCTGGACAATCCTTCAAGTAGGCCAGTGAAATGATTCCCAACTTGTTAAATTTGGACATTTGTCTTGGTTTTCGTTTTATGATGTTTTACCGCCAAATCACACAGCATCCCACGGAAATTGGAGTGACGCGCCCCTCACCGCGATTGGCAAATGGAGATCGCAGCCTGCGGGGTTCAGCGAAAAGCGCTGCTTCCCCCGCAATCGTCACCTGGAGGTCGTCTGGAACCTGCAGGATGGGTCCAGTTATGTTTAACAGAAAGGCTCCCTGTCAAATGAGGGCGTCAAAACTACTGCCGATGGTTAAGGTATGTTTAGGTCACTTGTTGATACTTTTCGTCCCAACTTTGTGGAACTGCAGTTGGAGCCACCGAAACGACCTCCGCTTCTCACCACTTGCAGTTGGCTCTCGGCAACTGTCAACTGAGAGCCACTCAGCATGGCATGTAAAAAAACTGTTCGTTGAAGGGAAAAACAATAGGAAACCATTGTAAATTGATATTCTTACTGCAGAAATCAAAGCCAAGGATTTCCTGACCATTTTCCCTTCAACCATTTTTGGGTTGGCACCCAGATCTCATGAGCCTTCTGAACTTTCTCAACATCTTCAAGAGATAGGTCTGGAATCTTCTGTCCTCAAACCTTGGTTCTGCAAGCGTCTTCAGTGTTGGTGGCCATGGGCTGTGGATCAATCAAGGCTCACAGCCTCAGGGATGTTCCAGATGGATGCTGACAGATCAAAATCTTGAGACTCCCCAGCAGATGTTCATTATTTTCAGCCACAAACACCCATGTGGATCGAACACCGTTGCGTCGCGCCACTCCTGGAAACACCAACATTCAGCCTCCGTCTTCCTTGACCGTTCCGTTACCACGAGATCTCTTCAGATAGGATCTAAACATATCTAAACAAGGAAGCATAGGAAACCAACAAGTAATCCATTCTTTACCGGGTCCGTTGGCCTCCATGAGCTGAGCCAATGAAGGCGACAGAGACTGGCAGTTTTGCAATGCACATGGTACATGAGGAAATTGATAAATTGACAACCAGCTAGCATCAACTAGCCAAATAAATCGACCACAGACAGACAGATAGACAGATAGATAGACAGACAGAGTGATATACAGATACGCACGGTAGTAGATGTATACAGGATCATATATGCAGATGCATATACAGTTATATTAAATATACATCTTTCGCTTCAAATAAAGACCATTAAAGACCTTTGCATCTATCCGCAGGTGCCTCACCTGTGGGACGAAGCCTTTGGTGCTCGGTTCGGGGTGCCCAGCAAAGATGCTGCTCCAGTGATGACAGACTTGAACGACACTTGACGACACTCAAAATACCCCAGCTGTTTCTTTTGAAGATTTTCTGGCTGGTTTCGCTTACAATTACTTCTGGAAGTTTGGGAACTGCTTCTTCAGTCCCTTTTTTTTGGGGGCCTTTTTTGCTTCCAACTCCTTCAACATGGCAGGCTCTGGCATTGATCCCAACAGTCCAGTCAGATTGGATCAGGGCTGACACCAGGTCTCATCCCAGCTCCTTCTATGTGGATTGTCGCCTGTATCGCCCCACCTATGAGGAGGTCGCCGGCGGAATGGAGGGGTTATTAGCAATGGCACAATCCAGATTTGGGTGTGTCTGAAAATGGGGTTTACTCTCAGTTATGGCCAAATAATAGCATGATGATTCACCAGCGGATTTGGGGATACCATATTTTCGGCCCCAGAACATATAAGTCATATAAGTCCTATAAGCTGCCCTCCTATGGTGTTGATGGTGTTGACCTCAGTAACCCAACAGTTTCCGCAGGCGGAGTATAATCGGCGCTCCCTAGGCGCGTTGGAAATGCACCTGTGGTTCAACTTTCGAGAGCTATCCAAAAGAAAAGGGATGCCATAGCAGCTCTGTTTCCCGCAAAAAGATAGACAGATGGTGGATTTTGATGTCTTCCCTCCAAGCCAAGAGAATTCTGACTTTTTGGGAGCCCAATTTTGACCCATAGCCACGCCCAAAATTTCAGGTGCAGAGGTGTTGACCACCAGCCATTGATTTGTGAGGGTTGGCTTCCACCACGCTGCCACTATGCTGTCAGGGAAGGCTAAGACCTGCGGGAACCTGGGGGAGATAACAGATGATTTAAGTGAACTCACAGAGTCACTTGTCTAATCATTCAATGGCTTCAATGGCTTCAATGGCTTCAATGATCACTCATGAAAGCATTTCATCTACCCAATGAATCCAGGGTACGAGGTCGTCCGCCTCGTCGCGCCCTCGTTGTGGTCTCATGGCCTGAGAAAAGCTCGGCAACATGGCGCTTCAAGGCCTGTTTTTTCTCACTGTGAGTATGATGTTTTCTCCAATCGCTCCAGACTCCAGTTCTCATGTTGCGCTGTTTGGGTAACGGTATGTCTGGAAATTCAGTAGTTATCATTTGAAGGAAAAAGAAAAACATTTTGTTAATAGTCGTATTGGTTTCGTTTTTTCCTCCAAGTTGTCATCTCTTGATATCAGACGATGTTTGTTTAGTCATTAGCAAACGCATTTCTCAACCTTTTCAAGGTACACACACACACAATTCACTTCCTTCGCTCATCGCTCCGTGGAGGCCTTCCGGAGCTGTTCTTCTCGGGCGCCTCGCGGAACGACGTCCATGGGGTGCCTGAAACCCATCGGCCATGGGAGTTTTTCGATCCGATGGATCCAATGGATCCAGGCTCCGTGCCTATGGAAGCTGGGCAACCGCAGAATGGACCGGTACACCGGCGGGCTGGGAAAGCTACTGGTGGAAGATCCAGCATTTTGATGGTTGTGTAAGAGGGAGGGTTTCCAAGGTGGACAAAAAGATGAATTTGGGCATGGTTCAGAATTGCGTCGCATCCAAATTGGATGGTGAGCAGTGGGCAAGCACAAGAAATGCGGGTTGATCATTCGTGACTATTTGCATCACATCGCAAAATGTCGCATAACCCTTTTCTTTCTAGGATTTTGCTTCCATAAAGAAAAACCTTTGGGTCAATCAGGGTTCCATCAAGTTTCGTCAAATTCCATGGGACGTCTCTGAGGATGTCAGGTCTGGTTTCTTGGAGGATTCTAAAGATCGCTGGCTGCACACCTCGCAAGAGGCCCTTCTCAGTGGGGAATGGGTATGGGATATGGGGTCAAAACATTGGTTCCCTCATGCATGCTGCATATCCAAATAGCCGGTGAATGATGTTCATTCATTAAGCTGTCCCATGGGGTTTGTGGGTTTTGACATGTTTTGACTATTGACCCATTGCCCTAAGTGGTGTAGTCCATCGCAGAAAGTGGACCTACACCTGAGTTGGCGACACACACACACACAAACTTTTCAAGTGTCAAGTGTTTCGATAGGTTTTCCGCGCGAGGTAACCAGTGGATTTCTGGATGATCCGAAGAAACTGCAGTGGCAGCCAATGATGCGGCACGAGATGTATGAGAAGCAGCTTGAGGAAGCAGCCGCACGGACGTTTCTTGGCAGCCTTGCTCTTGGCCTCAGGAGACTCAGGATTTAATGGATCCCCGAAATCCAAAATCTCACCAAGAGTTTCAACCACAGAAGCGCGCCACTTCCAAAAATGATCCAATATTGTGGGAGAGGCCCCAACCCCAAGCCAGTTTTCGGACCAACCATGACCATTAAAATCCCTTAAAATCCCTTAAACATATATGGGGACTTCAGCTCGTCATTGATTGTTGTAAGGTTGCCGGAACCCGATAGCGAGCCGGAGGTGTGTCCTGCTCCGGAACCGTCCATGAAGTTGGCAGCTGGGTGGCACTTCATTTGGGGAGTGGGCAAAATGTATCAATGTACTGGAGCGTGAGGAGGAAGAGGCAGTAAAACCGTAAAACGGTAAATTCGTAAAGTTGTATCATGATAAAACAAGATTAACATTTACAGATTTACCGATTTACCGAATTTACCTTTGCCCGGGCACAGCAAAATTTACCACTTTACCGATTTACCCAATTTACCATTGCCCGAAGAGCAGCGCAATTTACCAATTTACCGATTTACCCAATTTACCATTGCTCGGAGAGCGTTCTCTCCTTAGCATCATGCCTTACACAGTGACGGCTTAGAGAAGCAAAATTTCAGACCAGGGAACCAGTGATTTCTTGGTCATTTCTTTTAGCCTGAGATCATCGGATGGTGATCCACGTTGATCCGCGTTGATCCGCGTTGTGCATCGTTGTGCCATGGCAGATTAGATGAATCGGCCCCCCCATATCAGAATCCCAATCAGGTCTCAATTATTTCCAGGAACAAGGGCAGGTATACTTATAATGACTTGTAACATTTTATGGCTTCATATATAGCTTGTAGATGCTTATAGATGCTTGTAGCTCATAACTTGTAAGATCTAGCCCAAGATAACCCAAGATCCCATGTACAGTTCTGCATGCTTGGTTTCCTGGTTTCCCGGTTTCCCGGTTTCCCCATGTCCCCATGTTCTGCTGGGCGAGGAGCAGCTCTGGCAGAGCACCGTGGAGGCCTTGGAATGCCGTGCCACCTGGCGCCAGCCGAGCGCTGGCGCTGGCGCTGGCGCTGCGGCCGCTGCGGGCGCTGCCGGCTTCGGGGTGCGCCAAGGGTACCTGGCGCTGTACGGAGTCTCCTCGGAACTGTTTCAGGCGGTGTGGGCCTGGATGATTTGGATGTTTTGGATGATGTTTTTTGCAGAGGCGCTGTTCAACTCCTTTTATTTGATTTGGAGGGGATTGGACCCCCCACACAAGAGTGTATACACAAATACTATCAAATAATAAGTAATCTAATTTATAGTAATATGATGTAATATGATCTAATGTGCCCCACCATCGGTGAAGCAATCCACAGGTAGACGATGCACGCGGGGTGGTGCGCTATCGCCCACCCAGCTGCTTCCAGCACGGGGCCGTGGCGCCCTTGGAGCAACGCATGCTGAGGGACTGGGCGGTTTCCTGCAGCAAATGTCTGCGGCTGAAAGCAGTTTCCGAGAAGTTGCTGAAGAACTCCAGCCTCACCTCGCAAGCCCTGGGAGGTGTGCTGAAGGACAGCAATGAAGATAATGAAGATAATGAAGTGTCAATGTTTTTGTATAGTGCTCACCAACTGTGGTCCGTCACCAGTCGTTTGGATCATGCAACAGCCATGGTTGACCATAGACTTTCTGGACAATGAATCTTTGGACCTGTTCTTGTTACATTGTTGAAGTGGATCTCACAGTTTCACGTTTTAAAGATTGAGTGAAACCAGATTCAGTCTTATTCACCATCCTCATCTGAGGTGTTGTTGCTGGTTCAAGTGACGTGTCAATGGACAAACCATCACTCCATCACTCCATCACTCCCGTGAAGCATCGTTGTAAGGAGCTGCTGCAGTCTTTCTATAGCGATCTTTCCCTGCGCATCAAGGGATCGCCGTGCAGCTTCATCAAACTGCACGTGGTTAGTGGGTCCTGGCTGCGGCGCCTGCAGCCTGTCTTTGTGCTGTGCCATGTGGAGGACATCGACCAAGAACTGGCCGCAAAGATGGGAGCGTCGCCACCCTTGCCAAAGCTGCCGCAAGGGATTGAAGCTCGGAAGGAGAAGTTGCTTCATAGTTCAGATGCAAAGAATCTTGCAAAGACATGTGACTTTCAACAACTTGAGGGACTTCAGGTCACATTGTCAGTCGAAAAACAGTATTCATGGTCCAAGACAGCCTCTGGGTGCACCGAGGATTTGTTGGAGCACATCTTCCGCTTGTGCCGTGTGCACGAGGTCTCCAATTGCCACTTCCAAGCATGTCACCGCCAGCTCCCAGTGCATTTGGTGCCTGCTGATATGAAACTGGGACCAAATTTTGGTGTATTTCAGACAGGAACCCAAAGCATGCGAATACTGCAGATGATATGATCAGTTTAGCTGGAAAAATGGAGTTGTGGGGGCAACTTCTCTGTCTGGAGGGGAGTGCTTCTGTCCAGTAAAGCCGGTCAGCTTATCAAGTTCAACCCCTTTTGCACCGGTGGGAGTGATATGGGTATGGATCAATACCTATTAATACCATTTTTAATGGGATGAACATCCATTTTCCAGCTATTTTGATGTTCACCAGGGGTACAAGGTTTTGACACACTGCCATATATCTCTTTGAGCAGCCAGTCACGGTCAGGATTTTGCTGTGGATCTTTCAGCGAAGTATGCAGCCCTTCTTGGACCCCGGGCCGCATTGGCTTTGTTGTCGATTGTCGATTGCAGAAATGGCTGCAGACTCTGTAGCTGTTATAGAAAGCGACTGCAGATGAAAACCCGCGTTGACAGCTTCAGGTGACATGATTTCCACCAATAACTATACACACCCATGTAATATATCATCATTTTACATACACTTATTTGCCGCGTTTCTCTGCGGTGGTTTGCGAGTCTCAGGATTGCGTGCTGACCTGGACCATGGCTACGGAAAGCGCCAGCGAGAGCATCCCAAAGGAGTTTGCCCGCAGCGAAGGTGGCAAGAGGAAGATCCGATTTCCAGGACGGAGACCTTGGACGAGAAGATTTCCCAGATGTTCATCCGTTTTTGGGGTGAAACATGGTTAAACTGTTAAACAGCATTTGTTGGTGTATTATATTATTATATTATATTGTATTATTATAATATATTATATTATTATAGTTATATGTGTAAACTGGTGTATATGTGTATATTATTATATTGTACATCACCCAGCTTGGTACTCAAACCCTTCCTCCACTCAAGTACAGCAGGAGCTGACTGTTGGGGTGAAGGCCTCTTGGACCACAATTTTCCATCGGGCACTGTACCCAGCTTTGACCCATACCCACGTGTTGAAGATGTCTGATGTGACCCATGGAGCAGCTGATCAAATCAGCGAGGATTCCTGAGCTCCGTGGAGTCTGACATTCAGGAAATGGCTCACAAGCTGTCTATTCTCGGAATCTTGGCAAAGTAACAGAGAGAAATGTCAAACGTCAACATGGCTGAAAGTCCTCTGTGGTTCTCAGGATCCTGAAGTAGGTTGGGATGTTGATCTATATGATCTATTTCCACCCCATTTAGTTAGGATATTGATAGATATCGAATCATTGAACGATATCATTAAGATATCCACATTAAACATTGATCTCGTCATATCTCGTCATTTTGCTGCTACCACAGTGGTTTCCACAGTAGGATCTTGCCGCCAAGGACTGCAGCTGACGCCTCCCAGCGGTCCCAGTGCGGTGCTTCCGCTCAAGCCGCGCGGTCCAGTCGAGTCGCTGCAGCCGGTGACATTTTTTGAGACGCAGGAGATGGGATGGGCCATGGCTGCCATGGTGGGAAGGCCCAGCTGTGACTAGCTACACCATGATGTTACGATGTTAACTGGCAGTGTGTCAAAGCCTTGTACCCCTGGTGAACATCAAAATAGCTGGTAAATGGATGTTCATCCCATTAAAAATTGTAATTAATAGGTATTGATCCATACCCAACTAATGTATAACTAGCATTCACTAGCGACACCAAGTCTCAGCGGAAGGCATCTGACAGTTGGCATAGGAGATGAGCAGAGAGGAACTTGAGATTCATGTGATGGAACGACATGAGAAGCAGACACGCAGACAGCTGAAAACAAAGCCCAATGGGGCCCAATCCTGATGTGTCCCAGGAGTTGCAGTCACAGTCTTTCCTGGGCACACAAGCTGCCAAGGAGGAGGCTCCGGGCTCAAAAACTCCGTGTCACACCAGATGCGGAACATTTTATCATGGCTCAAAAACCCCATGGTGGGTTGGAGCATCCGACGCATTGCAGGATGACTGGGTGTCCCAGCGCGGCGAGCGCTGCTTGGCGGTGCTTTGTGCTATGCAGGAGGCTCAGGAGGCTGCACGGGCATCGGTGATCTCCAGAAGGAGGAGGAAATTGATGGAACTTGATGATTAACTACTAGTACATACTAGTACTAATTAATGACCATTGAATTTCAGGCAATTACATGCAATTACTGTAGGGATCAATGCCAATTCAGATAAATGTTAATTCAGTTCATTCTACATTTTTTTGTTTGAAATTAACTAATCATCAATTGTCAATTACCTGCAAATACAATGATCATTTATCTGTCAGATAGGTTTTGGCACATCCTTTATGTAGTCATTGTTTTTTTTGGTCCGGGGTCCCCATAAATTACAATCCGTGTGGAGGGGTTGCTCATCCATCACCTTCAATCACCTCCAGGCCGTCGAAATGGCCACGACTAGTGCCATGGTGGATGCAGCGATAGACCCGGCGCTGGCTGGCCACACAGAGGCCTTTGTGGGGTCAGGAATTCTGCACGGCCGGTTTATCATGGTTTATCATGGTTTATCAATATGGTCAACGGCTTTCGTACTTTAGATTTATCTGATCGCAAGGTCTTGGACACTGTTTGATTCAGTTGGGTGGAGGCTCGAAGACTTGGTCGCGCTGCTTCTAGCAGAGCACACATTGAGTGCATAGGGTGCATGCATAGAGTCCGAGTATGTCTGGGTCCAAAGGTGCCCCGATGACCGGAAGATGACGATTTTTTGGAAACCATTTCTGCCCCAAACTGTGGTAGGTCCCTACCATGCTGCCTGTACCGGCTGCGCCGTTGACCGCAGCGGCCGCAGTGCCGGTGCTCAGGAACGCTGAGAGCCTGCAGGCGCTGGATTGGGAGGGAGGGAATTGAAACCAAGAGACTTGGGCAACAGGAGAAGAATCCAAGAAGGAATCTAGAGTAGAGCTTGGCCTACGGAATTAAAACATGACAAACATAAGTTAAGAAACACAAATAGCTTCTGCAGCTCAACAATCGCAACAAATGTCTGATTTTACTTTTCAAAGGGCTGGAAGTATTCCAGTTGGGGTCAGTTTCCGCTCAGGAAACCAAGCGCAAGCAGGATGAGTTGAGAATGGCCCTGGATGCTCAGGTTGTTGAGCACCTCAGCAATTAAGTGCGATGCAGTGCTGAAAATTCCATTGGGGAAATCAAACAAATAGGCAGATCCCAAGTCATCTAGTCCATTGATCTTTGTAGGGGTCTGAGTCTACACATTCTAGAACATTGCACTATTTGTATCTATGGGTATCTTGTAGATATATAATATTATATAATATCGCGGGCATTTGCCAATGTTCGGGGTCCCCGCACCCGAGGAACCGCGCCTTGAAGGCGGCTGCGAAGCAGTTGGACATGGAGGAGGAAGCCAAAGAGCGCGCTCTGCTGCTGGGTCCTGCAATGGCGCTTCAAAATAGCGGGGTCCATGTATTGAAAAACAAGAATTGAAGACAATTTAAGCATCAACACTTGGGATTTAACATGATTTAAGCAGGAAACATTTGGATTTGGCCAAACAAATTTGCGGATGTGTGTCATTTTTTTTCTGGGTTTATCCAAAGAACATGTCCAAGAGATATCTGCTGCATGGGTGGAACTGCTGAGGCTGGGAGAGCCCGAGGATGAGATGCTGCTGGGGGACCTCCGCCAGCAGCTTTTGGAGGAGCACCAGCTGCAGCAAAGGCGAGTGGAGGAGGAGCAGGGCCGATGGTCTGGGGGAGATCATCAGAGCTGGGATGGGATGGGAAGATGGGAATGATGGGAATGATGGGAATGATGGGAATGATGGGAATGATGGGAATGATGGGATGAAGGATGAGAAAGACATAGAAAGACCTGAGTTTGAAGTGGGGACTCAGTGACATTCAGTGACAACATGTGGCACCGACTGATCGCCACGGAGGAGTCGTTGCTGCTGCGCTGGAAGTTGGAACGCCTCAGCGTGGCCGAGAAGCTGCGACAGCTCTACGCCTTCGAGGCCCAGGCGCAGGCGCTGGAGCTACAGGGCTTTGAGGCCGCCCCCGAGGCTGTGGCGAGGGCGGCGCCACGGAGGATTCCTGTGGAGGTGGCTTGGAGGGGATATATGGGGGCATATAGTTGCCACCATGTTGGCGATTTAGCGATTTTGGGAGTCACGATTCATATATCTTGCAAACAATCCAAGTGAATCCAAATGAAGGGTTGTGGGCCCGGACTTGCGGGGATATTGGTGTGAATGTCTGAGGTTCTCGAAAACAGTCGCTGAGTTATTGGCTTGAATTTAGACGCTCAAGTGTGAACCCTTTGCTTTTTCAACATTGGCCGAAACTCCTTCACGGTCGCCAAAGGCAGCCCGAAGACAAGCCAACTGAAACCAAGCCAACCAGCCACAAAGGTCCAGGGTTCGTCTCAACTATTGGAAATCTACTATGAATTAGATATTTTCATAAATTCATGATCTTCCAACCTTCGGTGGAATCCATTAGCTGTGGCAGTCATTGTGGTTTTCCAAGGAGATCCTTTCATCCTGGGGTCCTGTGGTGAACCCTTTCGAGCCCGAGCAAAGATCACGGGAAAGTGTGCCTGGAGATATCGCAGATCAGGCTGGAACGGATCCATCTTCAGCTGTTACATCTGTTCCTTAGCATCGGGTAGATAGCTTTTGTATGCTAAAAAATCATGTTATATCAGTTATATCCCATGAGGTCTCATGATTGATGGAGTTTTAAGTGGGTATCCCGGTAGAAGTGAAGATAAACGACACGAGGAAGTTCAAACTTGGAGTCATTGGCAGAATTGTGTCCGAGGATGGGACAACCTTGAACTGCATGGAAAATATCAGGGAGATTGGGGGAGTATACGTTCCTCTGTAGTTCAGGGTTGACACCAATGAATTGAACACTTTTTTTTGTGCATGTGTTCGTGGAATCGCATCCTGGTAGGATCCGCCCGATCTACAAATCCATGCGGGTCAAGACGATCCATCCATGGATTTGGATGATTTGGACGACGAGAGCCAAGCGCATACGGACCATTTGAAGGATCCGCAGCAGTTGGTGCAGCAGGTGCTGCGACAGATCTACAGCCCCTGGGCTGTGGAATGGGAGATTTCGCGACAGGGGCCCAAGCGCTGACCTCGGCCCCTGCTTTTTTTGAGGTTCCTGCGCGCAACGGCTGGCTGAAGCTGTTCAAGAACCTACTGCAAGCCCAGTTCGGTAGCCCGAGTTGAGGGTTGAGGAGTTGAGGATTTTAGTTTTTTCTGCCACAAAAAGAAATTGAGGTTGTTGCAGCTGCCACACAGCGGCCTGTTCTGGGGCTGCCTCGAGGTGGACAGATGGGGATGGAACGGAGGTTGGCTTTGCATCAGTCCCACCTTTTTCGAAGCCTTTTGAGGGTCTAGGCACTTGTGCACTGGTCAATCAGAATCCACACTAAAGTCTGTGTGAACACCAAGAATGTATTGAGCTCTCTCACCATGACACAAGTAATTGGGTCACCGCACTGGGGGGATTGAGCCTTGGAACCCTGAAGATTCAAAAAAACAACTAAATTCATCCAGCTTGAAAAGTCAGATGATCCTTTCTCAATCTCAAGATGTTATTTTGCGGTGAAGTGGTGGTCCTTTGCCTGTTTCCCGATTCCAATTCCATTGAAAGGCAGTGAGTAGGAATGAGTGAAGTGACTACTTTTTGCAAGTTAGAGCGACTTCTTTGCTGCTTTTTGTGGACATTCGCAGGGTTCCTGCCAGGTTATTCCTTGCAGATCTCAAAGGATGTGATGTCGGTGAAACATGCTGGCTCACGACCAATCGATGCTGCGCTGGAGTTGGGGACTTATGGGAACCAGCCTGATCATGAAAGCATGACAAGCACAGCAGATGTTTGGTGTTTCCAATGCTGAAGGGGGGGATCATGGGGGATATCACTATACCATATACCAAAGAGTTGGGAACCAGCCCGCCCTGGCCGAGATCCTGCTTACTCCGACCCTTGCGGCAGCAGTCGCAATGGCCAGGGCACCTGGCAATGGAAGGGTTTCAGTGGATGATTATCCCATGGTGTCAGGGCAAAAGATGGGTCTCGGCAGAACTTCCCCGAATGTTTATGAACGAGGTGTGAGCAAGGTCGTATCCAGATGTATCCTGGGGAGCATCCAGTGTTTGTTAAAGTTGCACCTGCAACTTTCCCACATCGATCTCTGTCACCTGGCGCCCAGGGTGGACCTGCAGGTGGTGCGGAAGGTGCGAAGCTTGAAGAACTCGAAGCTTCCGGACTGGGATGGTGATGACATGAACCCTGAGCCATGTGCCATAAGCGACCCCCAAGTGTTGCGTTTTTTTTTTTTTCCATAGCAATAGGTCTAGGTGAGACCCGTTGGCACCACTACAGCATCTATGCTCTCGGGTGAAAAACTCTCAGAAAGGTGCTTCACGGTTGCGGAAATGCTTGCTATATGTAATCAAAGATGAACTGTCTCGAATGTTATCCAAGTGGAAGTTTATTCTTGGGTTTGCCACATTACTCGGAGCCCATGTTCTTTAGCAAACATCTCACAAATGATCACACATATTAATTAATGGTCATACCCGCAGGAGGATTCCTACTGGTCCTACTGAAGGGTTTGCAAATCATGTGCTATTTACACCCCAAGTCTCTAGAAAGCCCCGGCTTATTACATGAGAACTTTGGCTTACATAGCTCACAGCCCAAGGTCTGCCAGTTGATCTGTTTGAGATACGCCTTGACATGCGTGTAGGCAGTTGATCTGTTGATTTCGAAGTTCCGCATCATTTCCAGGTCTTGGATTTGCAGCTGCGGCGAATTGAGATGCCACTGGGATGCGACGGTTTTATCGGATTTCATGATGCCACGGTGACTGCTGATAAACCCGGTCCCCCAAACATTGGATATGGCCTACACATGCCTACACTAGATTGGTGTAGGGGCTGCCAGCTTTGCCAGTGAATAGTTTTACATCATATCAACGCATTTGGCTTCCATGGCACCCAAGTCATTTGGACCACCCAATGGATTGGGAGCTCTGGTGGCCCTGCAAAACCACAAGCTGCAGCCAGGTTTGTTTCTCAAACCCAGTGATTCTCACTGTCCACTTCCCAACTAAAATAATTCCCAATTTTGGATAGCTTTGGATGATTTTGGATCTTTTGGGTCACCAAGTTCAGCAGTATCATTGCATTTTCATTTAATTTTCCAGGGTTGTTCAAACCAATGTGGGGTACATGATGGCCAAAACAGGATGTACAATTGATATTTGACCTCTTTGTGCAAATTCATCCCCCTCGGGGTAGGATGTTTCATGATGTTTCTGTGTCAGGCTGCGGCGCTACATGCTGATGGGCGAAAGCCGTTTGCTGGAACCCTTCCTGACGGAGGCCATGATGACCTACGCAGCGCCCAAGCCGTCGGAGGTGGGGCCTAGAGTTGGGGTTGGGCCCGTGGAGTTTGAAGGGGAGAGGATTTCATCATGACTTTCTTATCTTTCTTGGGATTTCTGAGTGACGTCAGTTTTCTTGGATGCTTAGAAGATTTGAGAGTTTTGTATAGTTTTGTTGGGGGAGGATGTGTGATTCCAGCAGGTTCTTGAAAAGGCGTTAGGATAGTCACCCATGCCGTGGTCTCATGGCTCGAACAAAATTTTCTCCAGCTCAACCAATTCAAAGCCTCATAGGACGATTTCCAGCCTGGTAGTTTTGCTGCAGCCATGGCAGAGACATTCGCCTTCAATGCTGACATCCAGCAGTTGATGAGTCTCATCCTTAATTGCTCGAACAGTAGCAGGCTCCGTGGTCAACAATGTCAAAACTACGCTTGCTTTTTGCTATGTACACAGTGCATCATAGAGGTCAGGATCAGGTTTGAGATTTGGTCCAGTTGCATTCGACTTTATTGGGTTGTCAGATTGATTATTGAACTGGACTGGCATTCGTTCCATCGATGCAAGTATTATTCTAGCAGGATCTCGAATCAAGCAATTGGAGTTGCAGGGCCTGTGTCGGGAACCAACGGCTTTCCAAGAGTTGAAACCTTCAACTTGCCGCGCACACGCTAAAATTCAAGCACCCTTTTGAGGTTTGATTATTAACACTTTCTATTCCAACAAGGAGATCTTTTTGCGCGAGTTGATCTCCAACGCCTCGGACGCCTTGGACAAGATCCGTTACGAGTCCATCACCGACCCAGACAAGATCGAGGCCCAGCTGCCCAGCTTTGGAAATCATAGGAGACCAAGTGCCCAGACCGCAGAAATGCATCAGAAAGCATCTTTGGAGTGTGGGCCCCGTAGAGGTAACCTTAGGACCATCCCCTTGCGCCCAAGTTGGGTTCATGTTGGCCAGCTCTCTGTTGCTTTTTTAACAGGATTGAGCAACTCGATGGACGGTTGAGATGTGTTAAGATGTGTTAAGACAGGTGAGCAAGGAGATTGCTTTCCACGACTCAAGATGAAGCTTTACCGGACAAACCATTGCTACGCACCAACGGCGCCCCCGAAATCCTTGAATGATTCATGGCAACAACCCATCATCGCTGCAGATGCCATATCTCCCGCGCCGAGAAAAGCACAAAACCCAAGCGCTTGCCTTCGCGGGCGGCATTTATTCCACAAAACACAAGGCACCTTGCCCTTCGCCACGCAAGCAACATTCTTGCCTCTTTTTTTGAGCCCCCTGCAAATCGCTGGCGCGCATCCTGCGTTTTTGATGGCCTTGTTTATTACAACATGTTGCTTGTCGCCTTTCTCAACTACGAACTGTTTTGAAAAAAACGCCCGCCCATAGACTAAGCCGCACGGCGCAGGAACATCAGAAAAATGCGAGAAAGGCAAATCTTCAAACAAAAAGATGAAACACCTGAGCTGCACCCCCGGCCAGTTCTCCACAGCATCACTTCACTTTCACCACGGTTGAGCTTTTGCCCAGAGCTAGCCTGTGTGTCAGCCCATGCAGCACGCTGTTGTGTATGAGGTAGCTGGGAACTTGCAAAAAAAGTTGCGCTTTGCAGGCCCAGCCCAACTTCTTCATCAAGATCATCCCCGACAAGACAAACTCCACCTTGACCATCGAGGATTCTGGCATTGGCATGACCAAGAACGAACTGATCAACAACCTGGGCACCATCGCAAAGTCAGGAACTAAGGCGTTCATGGAAGCGATGGCCGCGGGAGGTGACATTAGCATGATTGGTCAGTTCGGCGTCGGCTTCTACAGCGCCTACCTGGTCTCGGACAAGGCTCCTGGTTTTCTCTGCCCAAAGCAAAACTTTTACATATTTTGAAAGCATTGTTCAAGATGATATCATAGCGAAACCGCTTTGGATGTCGAGGGGGTTTCCGGCTTCTTGAGGTGCGAGTGATCAGCAAGCACAACGACGACGAACAGTACATCTGGGAAACTCATTTGCAACCAGTTTATCCAGTGACCCTGACCACCCCGAAAATCTTTCCCTGCTTCGGCCTTTCCAAGCTACGCGCTCAGGAGAGTGGTGCCGGTGGGTCGTTCACGGTCCAGAAGGCAGGGAACTAGCTTTGCAATGGCATTTTGCCAAGTAGCTTGCGTCAAAGATGCTATACATTTACATACATGCGCGTGCACACGCATGCATACCTACACACCTACGCACCGACATGCATACATGCAAGCAGGCAAATGCATGTGCATACATACACACACACATTGTATTACATGAACTTATATTGCGTTGCGTTGCATTGAATCGCATAGCCTTAGGTTGCCCGACATTGCGTTAATTTGTGCTACAAATTGCATTACGTTTCGGTGCATACGTACGCAGCAGACAGATTTTCACCTAATCTCATCAGCTTCCATCACCTCATGTTGCAGTACATGCATACACGCACCTGATTGGAAGCAGCATGTATATACATGTTTACATAAGTCAACACAGGCAATGTGTACACGCAACATGCCTACACACGTAGTCATGTGCAAACGTACACGAAAGCGTACGGCCGCAACCGCGTCAAACACGAGTTGCCCTTCATCGCCGACTGCAACCACTTTACACGGAAAAGCACAATGTTTCGCGCCCGGGCTTCCTCCCCAAAACAACCCCCATGCAACATTCATGCGGCCATTACAATGCGTTTTGCAGCACCCATTACAACGCGATCTGCGTCCACGCGCTGCAGAGGAGGAACCGATTCGCGCTCGATACATGCATATCATACATATGTGCATGCATGGCTGCATGCCAAGGTAAACGCGCGCATGAATGCACCTATTGTTAAACAACAGATGCAAGCGCCAGCAGAATATGTGCATGTGTACAAGCACACACCACATAACAAAACAGCACCCAGCATTTCAGGAACTTTCACCACGACATTTTTAATGCATTGTAGTCACACATACATGTATTTGCAAGCAGCCAAAATTCATCCATCCATGCCTACATACATGCATGCATAATCATAAATACCTCCATACATCCCCGTTGAAATTTCCCCTATGAAATGGCTGGCCTCCAGACCCATATAAGGTCCATTTCTAGGGTCATTTTGTAGGAAATCACTTGCAAGATCCCAGCCATTTTCTAGCATGTGCTAATTTGAAGGGCCTCGAGGCCCATTTCGGAGGCCATTTTGTAGGGATCCTGCTTGCACCATATTGTAAGGGCAATAAAATCGATGATTTAGGCAAAAAACCACTATCATATAGCAATCTCGAAATGTAGTTTGAGATCTTGGCTGGGTTGGGGCCATTCATTCTTACAAATTCTTATTCTTTGCCTATTTTAAGGGGTCATTTTGTAGGGAATTCGTGCTATTCTGGAAAAACGATCTGCTTTCCAAATTTGTGCAGGGATGTTGGCTGTCGCATCAAAGCTTCATGCAGTGGCTTACGAAAAGGGAGGCTGTTATCAGGATGGTTTGATGTACTGCGTTCTTCTGTGCAAGTCACCGAAGCACTTTGTAAGACCATGTAAGACTTGAATTACTATGCAGATCTATTTGTGAGATCCTTGTAGGTATGGAAAGTTATGGAGGGAAACTGAATAATTGGTGGTGCACTTGGTGCGCATGGTGCACCCCATCTTATTGTAGGACTTCTGTGGTGACACGCCTTCAGTGTGGAAGCAGGTACAAAATGCTTCACTCTGCGTCAACATTGCAACAAAAATGGCAGCAAATATAAATAAACCATAGTAAACCTACAAAAAGGATGGGTTGCTCCTAAAGACAATTGAGGGCTGAGTGAGGAAAACGCAGATAAATGGCAGAGCAACAGGTTTTTACAAAATGATGCCTTTTTTGGGGCCCGGGCTCAGGTTCCAAGCATGCAAGCAAAATTCATACTCAGAAAAAGATAGAAATCAAACATCCGGGCGAAATATACATCCTACAAAATGTGGGGGTGTTGCAAACAGCTGGTTGGTGCACACAGCCCTACCATTTTGTACGGAGAATTTTTTGCTTGCACCCATTCATTTTGTAGGCCTTTTGCAAGACCGCGCGGTTTATAGCTACAAATAGTCAAGGGGGATCTCCATACGTAGATACCTCCACACAGTCCATGCACAAATGCCTCCATACACAAGTGCGTATGTACATATATACATACATGCATACACGCAAAGATGCATATAGATATGACATACATGCATGCATACGTGCCCACTTTTGCCGACACAGGCAGCTACAGACCTGCACAATGTGTACACTTGCTCATCACATACAGATATCAATGTGTGCATACAGGGCTGATGTGTACATGCGAGCACGAGGGCATATATTCTTACATCGGTGCATGCGCGAACAATTTACATACCTCATGCTCCACTCACACACAAACGGAAAAACAAACGGAAATACACACGTACATACATAGGCACATGCATGCATGCATGGCTTCATGTGCCATTTGCCGCAGGACACCGAACTCGTGCACGGCGAGATCAAGCGCGGCACCAAAATAATTTGCTATCTCAAGGAGGATCAGTCCGAGTTCCTTGAGGAGCGCCGCCTGAAGGATTTGGTCAAGAAACACTCCGAGTTCATCGGCTTCCCCATTGAGCTCTACGTGGAGAAGAGCAAGGAGAAGGAAGTCACGGACAGTGAAGATGAGGGTGAGGCTGAAGAGAAAAAGGAGGAAGGTGATGAGCCAAAGATTGAAGAGGTCGACGAGGAGAAAGAGAAGGAAGAGAAGAAAAAAAAGACCAAAAAGGTCAAGGAAGTGTCCCACGAATGGGAACAACTCAACAAGAACAAGCCTTTGTGGATGCGCAAGTCTGAGGACGGTTTGGCATTGTTTTTCAAGTTTGCCATTGTTTTTTTAACAGTTTGGCATGGTATTTAAAGGTTCAGCATTGTCTTCTGGACAATGTCAGCCAAAGCGGCTGCCAAGTCTGAGCAGGACGTGACAAATGAAGAGTACGCTAGCTTCTACAAGTCCTTGTCCAACGACTGGGAGGACCACCTCGCGGTGAAGCATTTCAGCGTGGAGGGTCAGCTTGAGTTCCGTGCCCTGCTTTTTGTCCCTCGCAGGGCGCCCTTTGATCTCTTCGAGACCAAGAAGAAGAGGAACAACATCAAGCTGTATGTCCGCCGCGTCTTCATCATGGATGACTGCGAGGAGCTCATGCCAGAATGGCTGAACTTTGTGAAGGGCGTCGTGGATTCTGAGGATCTTCCTCTGAACATCTCTCGCGAGACCTTGCAACAGAACAAGATCTTGCGAGTGATCAAGAAGAACCTTGTGAAGAAGTGCCTGGAGATGTTCGCGGAGATTGCAGAGAAGAAGGACTGAGCGTTGAACTAACTTGCTTCCCCAATGTCCTTGTAACCAAAGCCAAATAATTAGCCCCTTCAGGTACTAATGTTTGCTGGGTTCGTAGCTTTGCTTTGGGGCCCATTTGAAGCCTTGAAGGATGATTACAAGAAGTTCTACGAGGCATTCGGCAAGTGCTTGAAGCTCGGGGTGCATGAAGACTCCACCAACCGCACCAAGATTGCAGAGCTCCTGCGCTTCCACACCTCCAAGTCTGGTGATGAGCAGATCAGCCTCAAGGAGTACGTGGATCGCATGAAGGAAGGACAGAACGACATCTTCTACATCACCGGCGAGAGTGTTGCTGCCGTCTCTTCCTCGCCATTCTTGGAGACCCTCCGCAAGAAGGGCATCGAGGTTCTGTACATGGTTGCTTGCCAAGTAACAAGTAAGTGTTTTTCAAGTTGTTCGATTGATTACCCATGATGCTGGAAAATGCTGGTGGATTTCCTTCCAGCTTTCTTTTCATAGACAAAACGAATTCAACAACTTCAGCATGACTTCAACCGTTGTCGTCTTCGGCCAGCTGACCAATCATAACATGATTGGATAGTTGGCAATGTCTTTGGGCCAGTGTCAAGTGCAAAGTTTTCACTTCAACAGGTTGACCCCATCGATGAGTACGCAACGCAGCAGCTGAAGGAGTTCGATGGCAAGAAGCTCAAGAGCACCACCAAGGAGGGTCTTGACATCGATGATGAGGATAAGAAGAAGATTGAGGAGCTGAAAGCTGAGTTTGAGCCACTCACTAAGCTCATGAAGGAGGTTCTTGGCGACAAGGTGGAGAAGGTCCTTGTGAGCTCCCGCATGGCAGACTCTCCATGTGTCTTGACCACCTCCGAGTACGGCTGGTCTGCCAACATGGAGCGCATCATGAAAGCGCAAGCCCTTCGCGACAACTCCATGACTTCTTACATGGTTTCCAAGAAGACCATGGAAGTGAACCCAAAGCACTCCATCATGGTTGAGCTCAAGAGCTTCGGTAGCAGCTCAGGGCCTGAGATTGTGGGACTGCTTTCCGATTCTAGCAAGGGCTCACTAGATTGTTACCAAGGCCTTAATAAGGAAATCACAAATAAAACAGGACTGAGGCCAGAAAAGGACATTCTTATACTATCCTTATCCATCTTATCCACCTTTATTTTCTAGGAACCCAAAGGCAAATGACCATGGTACCAACGGACCCCCTTTTTACGTCTCTTGCTTCCACAAGTTTCCAGTGGCTTTCTGACATTGGGCAGAACTCTTTCCCGCTTCGCTGCTTGTGTCAAACCTGGACCGCAAAGGCAAGCGGGTTGTTGTTTTGTTGTGATGATGATGAAAACAGCAAATTCTGCTTAGTTCTGACTTATTCCGGTTTTAATTTCTGCAGTGGTGATGACACCTCAAGGGTTTTGCAATTATTTCTGCTTCTTCTTGCCGCTTCTTCCTGCTTCATGTTTTGCAACGTTGATGAACTTTGGTATTTTGGAACTATTGCTGCCGCTCTTTCCTTTTCATGGCGTGTTCCTGGCTTATTCATGTCTTATTCTTTGCGGTGTTGGTCCAGCTCTGCATCTTGCAGCCATGTTTGTTTATTGCTGCCTTCTTGTCCTTTTGTTGTGTTTAAGTGTTGAATTCTGCAGCTATAGTATCACCCTGCTAGATGTTTTCCGCCCAACACGACATCCGTTGAAGCAACAGCACGTCAGATCAGCCTAACGAATGTGCCTATTTGGTCTTTATTTTCTTGGACACTTGCTTTTCCGAATGTTTTATTCGTTTATGCTCAGACATACAGGCTTCGTCGCATCTTTTTCACCCGTCCCAAGGGAACTCCCAAAAAAGGAGGACATGAAATTCGAGGGGTGGCGGGGTACTAAGGGAGGGGGTGCATACGGATGCCTTGATAAATAGACTTAGATGACAAAGGCGGATGTTGTTGTTGTTGATGATGATGATGATGATGACGATGACGCAACGCTGTTCACGATGATGGCGATGGTGATGATGATGATGAGGATGATGATGATGATGATGATTATCATGATGACGACGACGACGACGACGACGACTGTGGTGGTGGGGATGGTGGTAGCAGTGTTGAAGATGAAGATGCGCACGGTTTGGATGAAAACCAAGAGGAGGGAAAACAGAAGAATCTGAAGAAGAAGAAAAAGAAGAAGAAGAAGAAGAAGAAGATGAAGAAGAAGAAGAGCTCGCAAGCCCAGGGCGTCCACGTCGCGCGAGCGCGGCCCGTCGTTTTGAACTACGGGTGATGACCTATGTGCATGTTTTGCATGCTCTCTAGCTTGACAGTGCTTCTCAGCACTGCCTCAGTCCCAATTTACTGCAACTCCCTTTTGATGAATTTGCGCAAATTGACAGAGTTTGTGCCCATTGGATGCGTTTTCCCGAGGAATGCGTCTGCCTTTTTAGTCGCTGACTTGATGGAACACTCACTCCCTGGATTTTTTTAGTCCTGGCCTGTGCATGTATCTTTGGGTTTCTGATGAGAACCAACCTCCCCCCCAAAGCGGCATGAACATAGCTATTCTCACATGTATTGCTATCACGTGAATTTGTATAGGTATGCGCGTCATCTATCTATCTATCTATCTATCGATCTATCTATCTATCTATCTTTCCTTTCCTTACCTTTCCTTACCTTTCCTTACCTTTCCTTACCTTTCCTTACCTTTCCTTTCCTTTTTTTCTTCCTTTTTTTCTTCCTTTTTTTCTTCCTTTTTTCTTCCTTTTTTTCTTCCTTTTTTTCTTCCTTTTTTCCTTCCTTTTTTCCTTCCTTTTTTTCTTCCTTTTTTCCTTCCTTTTTTTCTTCCTTCTTTCCGTCCTTTCCTTCCTTCCTTTCCTTTCCTTCCTTTCCTTCCTTTCCTTCCTTTCCTTCCTTTCCTTTCCTTCCTTCGTTCCTTCGTTCCTTCGTTCCTTCGTTCCTTCGTTCCTTCGTTCCTTCGTTCCTTCCTTCCTTCCTTCCTTCCTTCCTTCCTTCCGGATCCCTAATTTTTTTTTTGATGCCTAAAAATGTTTTTTTTGATGCCTAAAAATGTTTTTTTGATGCCTAAAAATGTTTTTTTTGATGCCTACGCCTTTTGGCTCAAGGATCTCGTGTAGAGTGCTGCCGGCAACCTACTACAAGTTTCCAAGGGACTGTCGTTCACTCCATCATAGTCATGGACGTTGACTACGTGCAACTTGCTTCTGTCCAGGAGGAGCAGTCGGCTGAGCGCACTGGTGACACTCGTGAGCCCCACCAGATGCTCTGCATTACCATACTGGCTCTCCTCGCGCTGTTTCCAAGTATCTTGGCCTCATGGACCCACATCCATCTGTTGGCCCTGCGCTTCCCATTGGCACAGGTGCCATAACATTTTGGAGTGATTTGCAGAACAGCGTCGGCATGATGATGGCGGCCGATTCACCGGATCCGGATTCCATGATCTTGAATGGTGAAGACTACGATTGGTCCAAGTCAGAACCTGACTTTGGACCGCAGCCTTCCGCATCTGGTGTCTCACCACTGACATTCAGTCCAACCAACCCTGAGGGTCCGCTCTTGCCAAGTCTTCCTCACCCCGACATTCCTTTCGAGGGTATCATGGCTGATGAGCTGGCTGTCACGAGCACAAGTGGGGGCGATGGCGATGGTGACGGAGAGTCGCATGATCCTTTCAAAATTGACTCCACACAGGGTATGTCCTCCGGCCATAAATACAAGCAGCCTTGCATCAGATTTCTGGTGAAGAAGCTAAGGTGCTACCTCTATGCTGAAGGGAAGTACCCATTTCCGGAGGTTATGGGGGAGTTCTACTCCTGCTATGATGACAACAAGCAGTGCATCGTCACCCACACTATGGAAATTGACTCTTACAAGTTCCTATTGTGTTCTGAGGACAAACCGGGCTTGAAAAAGTGCGCTGGTGAGCTTGAGAGTCGCCAGCCGCAGATGCCAACTCCCGATCCCCAGACCGGCAAGTTTCCGCAAAATCCGTTGTATCGGCCAGATTGGGCTGGCACAGGCTGCGGTGACCTCGGCATGCATCTCTTGTTTCCAGAATCCTCGTTATTGCAAACCTGAGACCTACTCCACCTGTGCATTTGAGAGGGCCTGGTGTGAGTCATCTTTTGGGTTAATCTCTGGCGAAGCTGTGACGTGGATAAATGCCGGTACGTGGGTGGTCTTTCTCTCGTCTTTTATCACATACTGCATGCAGCCTTCGCGCATTCTGTTGCCGAATGGCCCTCTTCGCAGCTGGGGGCTGAGCTTGGATGCTCTGCGCATTTTGGTGGCGTTGGTTGCGTTGGTTGTGGCCACTCTGGGGCTCCTAATTGGCACTGCATACAACATGCCCATGTTTATGCTTCCTAACGCTGGCTGGTCCTCTACCATGGAGGATCTGTATTTCTTGTCTGCTTTTGGCCACTTGGTGTTCTTTGGGGTTATCGTGGCCGCTTACATTCACGCAGCTGCGAATGATATAGCCTTGCCAGAACAAGGGAACGTGCCAACCTTGCTCACGCCAGCTTGGCTCGTGTTGGCAGCAACGTGCTCGTTGTGCACAAAGTAAGTAGGAGGGTGTTTGGGCAGCCCATGCTCTCGCAAACCGCGATTTTGCGAAAGAACCGATGTTTGAAGTGCAATGGTCGACTCATTCTGCAATGCCAGTGTGCAGCCTTCTCTTCTTCGCAGCAACGTTGTCCTTTCTCACCCATTTGCTTTGCAGGACTTTGAGATTCGTCTTCTGGAAGCTGTTATTCATTTGTGTTACCTCGTTCTCAACGTCAACGCTGTCGTCGTCCCCATTTACTGGGACAACAGTGTTTCAGCGGCAGCTGCTATGTGCCGCCCGAAGTCACAGTCCTGGAGTCTGCCATGTGTTATTTCCTGTGGCTTTTTGCCCTGCAAAGCAACTGGTCGATTGCAAACCGTCAGTGCGCCACGTCTGTTTCCGGAAATGCAGAGTTGGTGATTGCAAACCTTGCTAACCGGCCTGGAAGCCTTGACATTCAGAAAAAGGAATAGCCACCAAAGTCAAAGGGCACTTTCGGTTTCTTTGTCCCAAGTGCAAACAAAGCCCCCCCGAACTGTTTCACACTGTCTTTTCTGAGCTGGAGATGACCATTTTGCAGGGTCACGGCGCCTCTTTGATTTCTATACGGGTATAGGTGTGTCCAGCCCAATCAAAATTTCTGGGGACTCAAAGAGTAGTGGCTGCCAAGGAGAAGTAGGCATCGATGGATGGGATGCTGAACTCATGTTTCATTTACCTCCAGGTTGGGAAAGACTTGCGCAGCTGCTGACACTCTGTGAAGAGAAGGCCGGCTGGCCTAATTCAATGAAGGCCACCCGTCCTTGCTTTATCCCCAAAGCCAAAACTGAAGCAGTTCATGCTGCTACAGATGCGCTGCAGGTACAGTCCGATTGATGATTTTGTGGCTTCACCTTCTTTGCAGCATGGCGTTACTTTCCAAAGTTTTCCTCAGGAATCCACAGCGCAGCAGTTCCCTTTGATGTGTGACTTTTCAAATGCTGCCGCCTGCAGATGCGAGCATCGCTTTGATGATTTGCTAGCGCATGGAAACAGTATGGTTGCTAGTCAATGGCAAGTACCGCTGTCATTTCGGTTTATGAACCACTGACGGACCGTGAGAGGACAACGCTGTTGGCACATTTTTTTGTCATTCCCTTCAGCATCATTTGGTCTTATGCAAAGCGCTTCTGCATCTGCTCATCCAATAGACCACCCGAACGAAAGTACTGTTGACATGAAAAAAACCAGTTGCGGCACGACAACTGATGAAAATATTCAGCTGATGTCAGATGACGTGGTTTATTGGTGGTGATGGGAACCAATGTCTGTGCATTTTACACAATTTTATACACGAAAAAGGCGCCGGGAAACTTTCGGTAGCATGTCCATTGTTTTTTTCGCGGCAAGGCGTTCTATAAATGGGTTGGGGACACATTTGTCCCTTCTCCCAATGCATATTCCAGTTGTCGGGTAAACCACATTTTCGGCCACTACCATTTTATAAGTCGCATTGGTGTCCATTTGTTGGCGCTCAAAAGACGAAGTTACGTTGTGCCGTTTTTGAAGACATGACTGCATTTAGTTGCGGCGAAATTTTCCCTGGAAGTCTTGCCTTTTTCTAAACACAGGGGAACCCTCGTGATCTCAACTAAAGTTTTTCTTGGTCAGGTTGGGTTTAGGTATCTACTTATGCTTAGGCTGTATGTAGTTTTTGTTACGTTCAGCTGGGGGGAAACTGAGTTTATTGCAGTTGCTTTCTTATCAGTGACTTCTGTATGTTCAACTGTATTTAGCAACTACTGTTCAACTGCTGCTCAATTGCCAGCTGTTGCTCAGTTGCTGCTGCTGGCTACTGCCAAACTGCTGCTGGATTGCTTCTGAACTACTACCGCTAGGTTTAAGCCGTATCAAGTGACTTGAGGTCGCATCACACCTGCGTGAGCGCGGCGTTTCGTATAGATTTTGATAGTTCTTTATTGATTTGCATTCTGTTTCATCACAAGTGGGAGACAAGTGGGAGACAAGTGGGAGACAAGTGGGAGACAAGTGGGAGACAAGTGTATAACATTGTACAACCAGCGGCCCAGAGCACCCAGACCGTAGTTGGAGCATACCAGGAATGCAAGCCCGGAGGCAGACACAAAATCATGCGGCCCAGGGATGCAACCCTTTCAAAGGAGTGTGAACTTACAAACTGCCTTGGCATCTTTCCGTGTGAGGGGGCCATAGCTATCCAGGATCTATGTGCAGAATTCTTACTAAGAACGCAATGCGGATAAACCGTTTGGGGAAGAAAGTGGGCAAAGAAGAAATATAGAATCGCAAGGGCAAGGAGGAAAAAAAGAAGTGGAAGTGAAAGGTTCCGATTTGGAAAGGGTTATTTTGACGTTTGCGTTCAATTGGGGAAGACCAAAAGGCATGACTTAAGCATGACTTCTTGATGCTGCGCTCACAAGCGGGGAAAGAAGTGACTTAGGCATGACATTGTCGGCCCCCTGGAAAAACTTTGGAAATTCCATGTAAGTGGCGTCCCACAAGAGCGGCTAACATTTTGTAAACTTAAAGCATCAAACTATAATTTTGCACACTATAGCCGTCTATCTTCATTCGTTTTTTTGCAGAATGCGCTTGAGTTTCGTGCAAAATCATCAAATCAGGTTGGCCAATTTGACTTTTAATTGATCCCCTTTAGAGAACAATTTAAAATTAAACTATATACTATTTGTGGGTTTCGCCCCCTAAAAATAAAAACTAGTCAGCCCCGGGGTGTTTTTTATTAGGGTCCGTCCGAAAATCTTAGGTTTGTTTTTTTTTAAAAATTATGGTCTTTAATTCAATATTAGGGGAAACTTCGAGATCCAGTTGATTTTGAAATTGAAAAAATGTTTTTTTTTGAAATCGATTTTTTTTTAAATTAAGGGTTTAAATTTATTATTAGGGTCCGCTTCGAAATCCAATGTTTTGGCAATATTCTGATTGCGTTGTAAAAGGATATTTTATTTAATATGTTTTTTTAAAAAAATTAAGGTTATAAATTTATTATTAGGGTCCGCTTTGGTTCCTTAATAATAAATACCACCCTAATAATAAAAACTATAGACCTGAGGTGTTTATTATTTGGTGGGCTTAGTATTAGGGGGAAGGGATTACTTACAAAGAAACCCTTCTCAGGAAGAAGGCAGCTGCTGACAAATCGGACAAGACCGTGAAGGATTTGATTTGGCTGCTCTTCGACACTTCGCTTCTCACATCTGGTTTCAATTTGGATGAACCCACCCAATTCGCTGGCCGCATCCATCGCATGATCAAACTTGGCTTGAGCATTGACGATGATGATGAGGGACTTGGAGATGATGACGACCTGCCTCCACTTGAGGAAGTGGAAGGGGCTGCTGATGAGGCCTCCAAGATGGAGGAAGTTGATTAGGAGCAAACTGAGTTTGCCAGGTAATAATTCGCATTAGGCTTTGGGCATTTTGCGATCATGAACTCGGTCGGTGTCCATTACGCGTACAGTGCTATACCTCAGGATACCCGAAGAAACCGATACAAACTTTCAGTCCGCGGGAAAATGAGTTTCGCATTAATGATGCAGTTGTGTCCCTTTACTTACCATCCCGCCAACATTGATGTCCCGGGGCCGCTTTGAAAGGGGGGAACTTGCAAACCATCGGAAAACAACTTTGCAAAGATTGCGTGCGACCGTGTTTTCAGGTTTGCCATAATATGCCACAATCATTTTTGGCCTCAATCATTCTCGGTTTGAGGTTGATGAAACCTCCAACAACACCTAGAAACAGTATGAAACAGTGCACTCCGTTTTGGACGGACTGCAAACTGTGTAATTCCATGATCAATGCGCTGTCATCGCCATATGGTCTTTCCATTTGATGGTAGTAACTTACAACATGTTGGACGCCCCCCAAACATGTTGCATCAGATCTAATTCCATCTCTCACATTTCCCATCCTACCGGTAAAGTAGCAGAACTGTGGAAAATCACCACTTTTAATAGGTCAATTTACATCAATTAACATCAATTAACATCAATTAACATCAATTAACTATAAATTCAACATAATTCAACTATAAATGGGTCATTTCCACCATTTTTCAATCGCAAAGTCTTCGCTTCCCCAACGATCTCAGCGCCGAGGCCTCCGATGTGCGGCTGGCCGAAGAAGTGGGGCCGCCGAGATGGCATATTCTCCATGAAAGTAGCTGGAAATGGGTGTATACCCCATTTCCAGACACACCAAAAAAAAAAGATGGGATTTTCAGGGTTGTAAATCTATAATGGTTACGTACAATATGTACATACATGAATTTTGATGACGTTCCTCAATGAGTTTTCTCTTCAAAACATAGATGGTCATCCCAGATGTGTTATTTTTGATTCGTGATGGATTGATGGGTTCATCCCGATTAGGAACATGTGTGAAAGGATCACCAATCTTTTGGGCAAGAAATCCGATGACACATGGGTTTCTCCAAGGATAGGACAACAATGATCTATCATGTGTCCCTTCCAAAAAAGACCATGAACTCATTGAAATTGGAGACACGGCGTTTATCCATAGGTATCCCTGATCTTTGCACATACAGTGACATACCCAGTTGGATAAGGCGCTGAACCTTCTCTTCCAGTCCATGGTTCCGCGACCCACGGAGCCATCGGACGACCACTTCCTCAGTGCAGTGACTTTGCATCTGGCGACGGTGCCGGGGCCGATAGGCGGGGGGACTCGGCACCTCAGTGTGGTTCTGATTTCATTGTTCCATTTGCGGGTCGAAGAGTTGGGTGGTTGCCGGTTTTTGTTACATGTCTTTACATGTTTTTACCTATATTGTATATCCTGTTGCACTTGGACCAGCTCATTGTCTCATTTTATACCCTATTCAAACGCACAGAACAAATCTGAGGGGACAGGAGCTTTATGTAATCTCATATCTGTTTGGGATGAGCAGCATACATTTAACATTATTTTCCAGCCATTTGGGTGTACACCAGGACCACGAAATCGGGTAACGAAAACTGGTGACCCGACCGGTGCAGGCCATGGTCCCGTCCGGCTCCTGGATGGAATCAGGCATCCGTCAGGTTGTCCATTGGCATTTTGGAACACCCTCTGATTGATGGTGATTTAATGGTGATTTAATGGTGATTTATTGGTGATTTACTGAGGAACCTGATTGATGGTGATTTCATGGTGACATTAGTTGGATGCCAAGTTGAATCAAGTTGAAGATCGAACAACGGCCCTGAGCCCAGTGGAGGTTCAGTCTGAAGCTGGACTTCCCCATGAATCTCTTCTTTCCGGAGCGCATCATGTTGCAATACTCCAGGCCAGGAAGTGGCTTCAGTGGGATGGCATGGAGCCGTACTTGTAGCTGGTCAAATCCAACGATTGACGATCAATAGAATCATTATTTATATTGGATCATTTATGAGCATTTATTGTCAGCCAATGATATGTTTGCATGTTGTTGGCAAGGTAGGCTTGGAACAAGCGAAGGACTCTTTAGTACTGTTCAACTTTTCGGTCTTATCCTTCCTCTCGTTTTTCTGATGTTCATAACATATTTATTTATTTTATTTTATATAGTGATCATATCTTGAGTCATGCATGTTCATGAACGTGCTCTGCCCAGGTCGACCTGTTCCGGCCATTTTGGCTCAAGAAAAGTGATCACTCCAGTCCTTGTGGGATTTTTTTGTGTTCCTTTGCTCTGCCTGTGTGAGGCGTGAGTGTGTTTTTCAAGGGCCTGGGAGTGATCACTATAAGGTGCCACAGTCTAATTTTCCCCCGTGTTGGCCTTCGCCGCTCTCTCAACAGAAAGCTATGGCCGCTCGACGTGCTGCTGATGTGGTGCTCCCTTCAGAAAGCGCAAGCGGTGTGGGCTCTTGGACGGCGGTGAATGAAGTGGCTCAGCAAGTGCCTGCCAGCTCCTCAGCTCAGCCCAGCGGTGTTGATCAAACTGCACAGCCTGCTCAGGGTGAGGAGCCAGGCCACACAGCTTGAGATCGAAGGGCAGCTCTTGCTACACCTGGAGATGAGAGGGTATCGCTCAGAGCAGGATATGACCGTGCAGCTCAACTACATCAATGACGGTTTGATCACCTCTTTGCGAGAGGAGCTGTTCATCCCTGCCGTGGTGGTGACGATCTTCCAGGGCTGGCGGGTCATTGCCGTGAGCTTTGAGGTCGGTGGCAGGATCTATGCCTGCAGTGAGAAAGGGGTGGTCGTCGCTCTCGACTTTCCCTTATGCCATTTCGAGGTGAGGATGACGGCTCTGTCATCTGCTGACTCAGTGGGGGTGGATGCCGATCGGCTGGAGTTCCGCTTCAGATCGGCTGGTGATAGTGTGGATGTGACTTGCTCACAGATCACTGTCCCCCCGACTTGGCTCATCCTATCGAGGGTCTCGGGGCCTACTTTGATCCAGAACGCTCGGTGGTGTCGGGACCGCCATGCGCGAGTTGAAGGGCCTGATCAGACCATGCAAATGTCACAGCTTGCAGGCATTCACGCTCACTGGACGGCTGCAACTGAGGCTCTGACAGTTGCTGACACAGGACCTCGTGTGGGTGCGGTCGCAGTGGACACTCACCAGAACAACCTGCACCTGACATGTGAAGCTCCGCTCTTCCAGGCGCAGAAGGTCATCGTGCCGGCTGAAGCGATCGCCCTGCAGTTCCACGACCCGGAGTCTGAGGAGAGAGCTCTGGTGGTGCCACCTGTCATGGATGGGCCGATGGCAATCCCAGCTGCTCAGGCGCCGGGATCATTGAGGGCGTTGGCTGGCCCAGCAGCGGCTCCGTTGCAAGCTGCACCACCAGTGGAGGCCGTGATCTCAGTGACGGAGGCGGGCCACGCTCCCAAGGCAGCAGCTCCAGGTGACAAGACGGTGCACGTTCATCGTCGGTCGCTAGAGGCTCGGCAGAGTGAGTCGTTGGCTGATGCTGCCGTGACGCCCCAAGCCTTCCTTGATCAGGTTGGCTTGGTCAAGCAGGTGGTGTCAGGCGGTGGTTCAACATCATCAGCCCCTCGTTCGTACGGACCACCTCCGGTGATCGAGGAAGTTACGGACTGCTGAATGTGGATCCAGTATTCTAAGTTTGTTCAACTCTTCCAGCAGTGAAGGGCGAAATTGCTCAGCGAGCCCTGACTTTGCCTGGATTTCCAGGTCGCCATGATAGCTAAAAAGGGTCGGGGAGTTTGCTTTGCGGGTTGTGATTTTGTTGTTGCCGCTCGTTGCCCGCAAGCTCCCCTGGTCGGTTAGGTCTGCTAGGTCTGTAACCCCGACAGCCCTAGTGACGTTTCGTGTTTTGACCCTGCTCAGGCGACGCCCTCAGTCATTCTTTTGGGGGACCCTAGATCGAGAGTGAGCATCGAGAGACAGACTCTGCTTGTGCCGAGTTAGTCATCGGGCTCTGCTTGATCTTTGTTTTAAATTGTTTTTATTTTATAGTTCACGTAACTGAGTTCAGTGCAGTGCATGCAGTGCTGTCGAGTTCAGTGTACATGCACTCGTCCACGGAGTTCTGAATGCCTTTTATTTTGCGTTCATGAATTTCGGATGTGACGGTCCGGTGTTTGAGTTGAGTTCCAATTTGAACTGCATCCAGCTCAAGTTACGTGCATGATCATGCTTTAATGTGGCTTCTGTTGAGGTTTACGCCTCAGATGCTTGGGAACTCTCAGAAGCGAGTTGAGCTGTGAGAGACAGATCTCGTAGTGAAAACGGCGATCAGTCATCCGGTTCTTCATAGTTTCGAGGTTCCCACTTGTGTTAATGGTCATATTCATTGCTTACCATGTTCTTATTATATATATACTTTGAGGCTCCTTAGGTGAAGGTGTTCTGAACTTTTCTTCAGTCACTTCACTAGGGTTGCCCGCTGTGGTCGTTGCGCGATCGCAGTTTTCTGAGGTTCACTCCTCAGTTGTTTTTCGGAGATCTCAGAAGCGTGTTGAGCCGTGAGGGACAGATCTCGTTTCTTGCGACGGGGATCAGTCATCCGGTTCTTCGTTGTTTCGAGGTGTCCGCTGCCATTAATGGTCATATGTTTATTTACCATGTTCATGTTCTACATACCGGAGGCTCCTTAGGTTGAAGGTGTTCTGAACTTGTTTTCAGCCACTTCACCACGGCCTGCTCGAACCCGTGCTCAGGTGCACTCCCCAGCTCGGGTATAGGGAGTTCTCCAGGGGGGGGGTATTGAGCTGCGAGTGACAGAAACGCTTGTTGGAAGTGGGCGGTCAGTCATCCAGTTCTCTCTCCCTCTTGAGGTATGTTCTTAATGGTTATATTCAATTGACTTGCTCGTCTATATTTCCATATATATCTGGAGGCTTCTTAGGTGAAGTTCTTTCTTGTTTCATGGTTTGCATGTTCGCTGGTGAATTTGTTCAGCAACAGTGCAAACATGGCTCAGGGGCCCGACAGATGGGCAAGCAAGATCTTGTCCCTCCCTGTGTTCAGTGACGCATTTGCTCAGGCTATCCATGGCTCTCCTTTCTCAAATTTGGCGTTCGTCGCCGCGATGGAGGTGGGATCAGCTCATGAGTTTGTGTCAAAGGTTGGCGACTGGGCTCCGCAATTAGATGAGTCGATCAGAGACGACTTGCTGAGCTCTACATTTATGTTGGAGCAGTTCTGGTCGTTAGCGTGCTCAGTTGAAAAGGCCTTTTTCGAGTCCACAGCCAACCAGTTAGGGTTTGGCTTGTGTGAAGCTCCGGCACCCCCTATCAGCGCTGTGTCAGCCAAAGCTCGTAGGGCGGGGGCCATCAAGGCTCTTTCGGGAAAGACAGTGAATCCCCCGAGAAAGTTCTTGAAAACTAGTCCTGAGCCGCAGTCTGCAACGCCTTTGCTCAAAACGCCGCTCGGTGGAAGTGGGCCGCGCGACTGGAGGAGATCGGGCGAAAGGCGGGGACCTTCTCGAAGTTGTTGCTCGACACATCTAACGAGAAAGGTCTCTCGCATGCAGAGGTGGCTCGTCTGCGACAGCTCGTTTTGTCATCGGGAGCGCCACGGACAATGGCCACCCACGTGACAAACTGGGAGCGGTTCGCGGAATGGGCAGAGGCCAAGGGGATCGAAGTTTTTCCTTTGTCTAATACTAAATTAATTCAATACGCTCTTCATTTAGATCATCTTGAATGTGGCCCCTCAGTAATCCCCACTTTTAGGACCTCTGTTAAATGGGTTACCGCTAAGCTGGCTATTGAGTGCCCTGACATTGATCATCAAGGGCTGCTGGCAATTCAGGCCGAGGTGATCAGCAAGCGCGCTCGGACCCTGAAAGAAGCGGTGCCCATTCCAACGACAGTGGTTCGTGCAATGGAGCTCTTGGTGGTGGATGAAGGGGAGCCTGAGGCTACTCGCCTGTTCACATGGTGGTGGCTGTGCATGGTCTTCGCTTCTTTGAGGTTCGACGACGCTATGCATGTGCGCCCAGATGAGCTCATCCTGAATGAAGAGGGCATGTTCGGAGTTGCCTGGCAGACCAAAGTGGAGCGCAAGAGGCGTGGCACCAAGTTCGTCGTGCCGCATGTCGGGTTCTCGGGGTCTGACTGGCTTCGTGCTGGCTGGCAGCTCCTTCAGAATGAGCATTCTGCGCTCGCTAGAGACTATTGGATGCGGGACCTCAATTCTCGTGAGGCGTTTCGCAACGGCCCAGCTCAATACCAGAGATCAGTGCAGTGGCTCCGGTTTTTCGGCCGCTATGCACTCAACCATTACCACCAAGGGGAGGAGGTCGAGTTCAAAGAGCTGGCGGCGGTCGTGAACACCCTGACAGCTCACTCTGCTCGCGTCACAATGCTCGACGCAGCGGTGCATGCAGGCCGTAGCACGGAGGAGATCGGCCTCCAAGCCAACTGGAAGAACCCTGGGCCGCTTGTGCTCAAATACACCCGCAATCGGTCGGCTATCCCAGCCAAGATGGTCCAGCAGCTGGTCAAGGACATGCTCACTCAAGAGCACCCGGTTGAGGTCTCGGACGATACAGAGCTCGATGCAGTGGATCAGTCCGCCCTTGACCAGTTTCAGTTCTACGTCAAGACCAACTGCTCAGCCGCGGCTTATGACTGTCGATACCATTGTGCAGCTCTGGGAGAGGAGGAGGCACTAGCTTGTGGGCGGCTGAAGCTCGTCGACTGCACCCATGTGGGGTCGTGCCTCCCCGACATTGCCATGCTCTGCAAACATTGTGCCCGAGTGCGGCCAGAGATCGCAGAGTCCTTTGCCCAGAGCGCGTAGTGTGTCGCTCTGCTGCATTTAGTTGGGGTGGTGCTTGACGCTCTGTGGAGCTCTGACACACCTGTTCACGGGCTGCCAAGTTTGCTTTTTCATTTAATTTTTCCGGCAGTACTTTGCTCAGTTTTATTTGTTTGTGTGTCGATCACAGTGGCCATGGTGGATCGCACCGTCTACGCCGATGACAAGACCCCTGATCTGGCGCTCCGACAAGTCTTTGGTCGTCAGCGCGTTTCGCAAGATCTCTGCAAGGTGGCCGCCAACGCTGGTTTGCTCACAGTCGAGACCTTCGCCATGCTGGGTGATGACATTGCATCGGTCAAGAACACGATCAAGAACCTGGTGCCAGACATCACTGCTCTAGGCGCTGATGGTCCTGCTCAAGAACTGGCGCTTACTAGTTTGGCAGCCGTGTGGAAGACCTGTGGCACCATGCAAGATCATTTTGCCAATCGGCGAGCAAAGATGGAGGAAGATCCGTCCAAGGTCCCTGAGATCCCAGGAGAAGACCATGCGGAGTTCCGCGAAACATTCGTGGCTCGACACCCGGACGTTCTTCTTCCCCTCCACCGAGAACCACATCGGAAGTTCGTCGAGCGTGTTCAAAGGGATTATCTGGTTCATGGCTTTGTCCACTTCTACGAGGTGGGCGAGATCCGCACCCGCAATGAGCAGATCGCTCAGAAATCCGGCTTGACCAAGAATGCGGAGGATTTGTTGCGTGTGGTCATGATCGACCAGCCTGCCTCTGCAAGCTCGGAATCACAGGTCATTGACAAGCTCCACGCGTTCTTCATCACCTTGGAGTACCTCAACATTTGCGAGTTCTCGGTCGATGCTGGCCCGCTCAAGTACTTGGCTCAGCTTGAAGAATGGCGACACGAGAACCGAGGCCTGGCCCTTCTTCTCACAGTGGACACGCTCATCCGCAAGAAGGTGCACAGGGTGAGTTCTGATCAGCGCAAAAAGTTCACCACGTTCTCGGCAGCTTTGGTGGAGGTTCTCGACAACCACAAGCAGCTTTGGAATGACGCTCGCTCAAGTGCGGAGCTGGACAAGTACAAGCAAGCTTCTGCGTTGACACCTGCACCGGTGACTCCCAAGAAGCGGGCTCGCTCGGTCTCGCCGGTTCCCAAGTCGACAGCCAAAGCTCGAAAGAACAAAGCTCGTCGTGAACGCCAAAAGGCGCAGCTTCAGAAGGCCAAAGCACTTACCTCTACGCCGCCCAAGAATGCTCCGAAGGCTGCTCGAGATGAGCGTGTTCCAGCCAAAGAATGGCAAACAATTACGTCGTTCAAGTATTCGGGTGGGCGTCGGTGCCCTTTCTACAACAGCTCTTTGGGTTGCCGCTTTGTGGATCAGTGCAAGCTCAAGCACAGCTGTGCCGAGTGTGGCCAAGGCCACCCTTGGCATGGCAACCACTGAATGGATGCACCCAAGCCCCAGGTGGAGTTGGCTCCTCCGCCTGGGGATTGGACTGGGGCCACCAGCTCCACGAATGACGATCGGTCAAAGCCTCCAGCCGATCGGAAGGCGGTGCTGGGCTCTCAGTCACAATGGCCAGATTGGGATTTTGTGTTGCAGAATCTAGCTACATTTGCTCAGTCTGGGCCGTTTTTCCTGGAGCTCTTTCCTGGAAAGGCTGGCCTGACGGAGGCCGTTCACCTGACAGGTGTGCCAGTGCTCCCGCCAGTGGACATCGAGCCCTCGGCTTTGGTCAGCACTCCACGGGATCTGGTGGACTACGTGTTCTGGCGCCAGCTCTTGGATCTCTTGGCGCTGGGCATTGTTTTCTTTTTGCATTGTGGCACGCCCTGCAATACGTTCAGCTCAGCCCGGAAGGCTGATGGGGGGCCGCCACCACTACGTTCTGCCTCTCAGCCGCTCGGTTTAGAGGGCTTGCGGTGGGACGATCAGATGCTGGTTTTTCTGGGCAATTTATTTTTGGAACGGACAGTTGAAGCTTGTTTGTTGGTTTTCGCACTTGGGGGCGACTTTTTGATCGAGAACCCGCTCCTGAGTTTGCTGTGGACCACACCACAGTTGAGCATGCTTGTCCGTCGCACTCGGGCTTTTCAGCTTGACTGCGATCAGCGTGCGTTTGGCACTCCGTGGATGAAGCCTACTCGGTTTGTGTGCTCTTCAGAGCTCTTGGATGCGCTCGCAGTGCTTTGTCCGGGCGACCACGTCCACCAGAAGCTCAAAGGCAAGGTGTGGGACCCCCGCAAACAGCGTTACGTGTTCAAGACCAAACAAGCTCAAGTTTATCCGTTGGCCTTGTGTGCCACAATTGCTCAGCAAATTTTGGAGATCTTCCTGCAGGCATATTCCCATTTGCAACCCACGTTTCAGCTCTGTGCCCCAGCTCAAGAGCGCAAACGAGCCCTTCATTCCATTAAACCTTGGAAGGGCCATCGGCAGGCGGAGTCGGCTCTCAAGGCTCTGAACGCTGGCTACCAGCTCAAGCGTGGCGCTGCCAAGCCGCTGTTAGAGATGGAAATGGAACCTGGGGAAGCTGTGCAATTTGCTCTTCAGTTGGTTCATCCTTTTTCCCGCCCTGCTCAATTGCCGGCAGCCTTGACTGCGGCCTTGGCGGCGGTGGCCAGTGCTCCACGAGAAGTTGTGCGTCAGCGTGGTCGGGCACTGGCTCATTGGCAGGCGCGTGCAGTGGCGCTGTTGCCAGAATCTGTGTCCAGAATCATGCAGCAACCTGATGCAGCTTCGCGGAGGCTCCTTTTGGGCACACACGAGCCTGGCCAAGCTCGGCTTGGCGAAGTGTGTCATGTCGCTCTCTATGAAGAGATGTTAAAGGAGTGCAAGTCGGCCGATCAGTTGCTGCCTCGCCTCTTGCTCGAGGGATTTCCTATTGTTGGCCGGATCCAGCCCTCCGGGCGCTGGCCGCCCTTTGAGAAGGTTCAGAAAGTTTTGTTGGTCCAACATGCGCTGGATAGGGCCTGGGAGATTCGCTCCAAGATTGTGAAGCGTGTTCAAGGCGTGCCAGTCACTGACAATTTGCTCAAACTTTGGGAATCAACTATGGAGGATGTGGCTGAAGGTTCTTGCTTGGGCCCCTTCGACACAGAAGAGGAGATCACCTTGGCGTTGAACTGCAGCGACTGGATCCCTACACAAAGGTTTGAAGTAGTTCAAAAGAACAAAGTTCGTGGCTGTGACAGTGCAACTACCAACTTAATCAACCAGATCACAGAGATTAGTGAGAAGTTGCAGCTGCCGTCGACCGACTCGAACGTGGCTGCCCTTAGGATGCTCAAGACCTTGGCTCCAGATGCTGACCTGCTCGGATGGGTGCTCGATGAAAGGAAGGCCTACAGGCAAGTGGCTGTGCGCCCTGATCAGAGGAAGTTTTCCGTTATTTGTTTAAAGTCACCTCACTCAGGCAAGCCATCCTTTTTCATCATGGTTGGGCATTCGTTTGGGTTAGTGTCTGCGGTCTATAATTATAATCGTAGATCTGCTGCTATCAATGAGATTCTTGTCTCTTTGTTCAATTTAGTGGCCTTTAGTTTCTACGATGATAAATATGGCTTTGAGCCTTCTGCTTCAGCGGCGAGCGCTCGCGAAGTGGCCGAGCTGGTGCACTGGTGGCTGGGCGCTAGGTTTGATCAGAAGAAGCTGCAGCTCTCTGCCGAACCGACGATCCTGGGTGTGACCTATAATCTGAAGCTCATGCAATTGGAGATTAAGGAGGAGAGGTGCCACGATCTGCTCGAAGAGATTGACGCCATCCTGCAGTCTGAGCTTCTTGATCCGGGGTCAGCGGGCAAGCTCAAAGGCAAGCTCATGTTTGGAGCTTCCCAACTCTGGGGCAAGATTGGCCGTGCGTTCTTACGGCCCATTTCTGAGCGGCAGTATTGGAAGTTCCCTGCAACATCTGAGTTCAAACTCGATTTGCAGCTTATCGAATCATTGCGCCAATGGAGAAAGCTCGTCCATGCTGGCCCACCGAGATCTATTGACTTGGCTCAGGAAAGGCTGGCAGATGTGGTGATCTTTACCGATGGCTTCACCCCTGATCCAAGGTCTTCTGATGTCAGTCCTGATCGGATTGGTGGAGTGATGTTTGACAGAAGAGTGCGCGCACCTCGTCAGTTCACTTCAGTAGTCCCTCAGCATGTCAAGGCTCGTTGGCTGGTAAGGGCGACCCAGATCATGCCTATTGAAATGCTGGCTCCAGTGGTAGCTCTTGTCACCTTTGCTGATCGTCTCGCTGAAGCGGATTTGATTTTGCTCATAGATTCTGAGTCAGTGGAGGCTGCTCTCGTTAAAGGCTACTCCAGTCGGGAAGACATGTGCGAGATCATCACATTGTTTTGGGAAATAGCGCTCGAGTTGCGCGTTCGCGTTTTTATAGACCGAATTTCTACAGACGCCAACCCAGCTGATTGGCCGTCCAGAAACAAGCTCTGGCTGGGCGAAGCAGCAGGCTGGTCTACGGTGCAAGCGTGTTGGCCTGAGGCGCTCAAGTGCGAAGTTCAAGGGCCTGGGTAGTTTGATTGCTCTTTTGTGTGTGAGTTTCAATTGGCTCCCAGTTTGCTCTGACCTGCCAACCCGCTGCGTTTGAGTTTTTGACCTGGTCAGCCGCTCACATCAGCTGGAGCTCAACATAACCCTTCATTGCATCATAGACCAATCTTTGAGACTGCTCGGCCCCATGCCTTGTGCAGTCTTAAAAATGTGTGCTGCGTATTTTGGGACTGCCGGCATGTTTATTTGGATTGTGTGATTTCACTCATTTGTGCAAATGATGATCCAAGTTCAAAGCTTGATTGGAAGTGATGGAAAAGTTGTAGTGGGGCACACACTCGAGCCCCACGAATAGTATGCAGAGAGTCGTTTGCATGTTGTCGGCAAGGTAGGCTTGGAACAAGCGAAGGACTCTTTAGTACTGTTCAACTTTTCGATCTTATCCTTCCTCTCGTTTTTCTGATGTTCATAACATATTTATTTATTTTATTTTATATAGTGATCATATCTTGAGTCATGCATGTTCATGAACGTGCTCTGCCCAGGTCGACCTGTTCCGGCCATTTTGGACTCAAGAAAAGTGATCACTCCAGTCCTTGTGGGAATTTTTTGTCCCACCCAGCCCGCCCCGTGAATAGCGGGGTGGGTTGATTGTTTGGTTCACCAACCCACCTTTTTCATTTGAGAGTGGGAGAGGGGTAGTTTGATTGCTCTTTTGTGTGTGAGTTTCAATTGGCTCCCAGTTTGCTCTGACCTGCCAACCCGCTGCGTTTGAGTTTTTGACCTGGTCAGCCGCTCACATCAGCTGGAGCTCAACATAACCCTTCATTGCATCATAGACCAATCTTTGAGACTGCTCGACCCCATGCCTTGTGCAGTCTTAAAAATGTGTGCTGCGTATTTTGGGACTGCCGGCATGTTTATTTGGATTGTGTGATTTCACTCATTTGTGCAAATGATGATCCCAGTTCAAAGCTTGATTGGAAGTGATGGAAAAGTTGTAGTGGGGCACACGCTCGAGCCCCATGAATAGTATGCAGAGAGTCTAACATATATTAACTATTGCAATGGGCGTTGTGATGCGTTGTGCCTTCTTTGGGCCATTGGCCATCTTTGATGTTGCGCGAAGCGGGAAGCCATCAGGCTGTTCCGCATGATCGCGTTGGTGAACCACACCCTGGAGTGCTTGAAAGGGAGCTGGCAGGAGCCTCGGAGCCTCGGAGCTTGAGATGAGATTTTTGGCTACAAAGGGGGACAGTCCCCACCGTGTTATCCAACATGGCAGACGTGGGAAGGCCGTACCGCACAATTGTATAATATCAGTGCATCATAATATTAATATCCATATCCATATTAATATCCATATATATATATATTATATATATATATTAATATATCCAGATGTTTATCCATATCCACATCTGGAAGATGGAAACACATAGGGCGTTTGTTGTCGCCGTGTGGCCCAGGTGGTTCTTGGCGTCGACTTCCTATGGCATGAGGAAGTCAGGCGCACGGTTTGGCGCTGTGGTTGGAGTGCGCAGGCAACGTTTGACAATGGCCATTTTTGCAAAGGGGTCGTCATTTCAACATATTTCAACCAGAAGCATTCCCAGTGTAAGATTGTGCTAGACCACTAATCCCACAATTATAACATGGTTGTCTCATAATCAATTATCACGTTTACTTCCCACAAGCACCCATTTATCATCCCACAGTTTTGTACCAATTACAAGACTGTAATTATCCAACACTCAGCACTTGACTTCACAGCCCCGGGCTTCAGGCGGAGAAATGTCCGAGACCCCAGAAATCGAGAAGCACCGTCAAGATCTGTTGGTTTTTTCTCATGCTTTTCAATCCTGAACAATCCCTAGAATTTTCATCTTAAAAGACTATCCGAACAAACACTTTCCTATATTATCCTCTATATGTACATTACAATATATATATATACATTATTATATGTTTTTATAATAATAGTAATAGGTAATAATAATAATAATGACAATAGTGATAATTATGATAATAACAATAAATAATAATAGTAATAATGATAATAATAAAATGATACTAATACTAATGTATATATATATACACAATATTACAATATATAGCACTCCCTAAATGAGGTGTGATAACCTACTTTTCTATCTCCGAGGCGTCGCTTGGCGGCGCTGCGTCAGGGGCTGCACCACTTCGCAAGTACCCTGCACCGCTACCTGCTGGTGGCCGTGGTGGCAGCAGAGTTCCAGAGGTTGGAAGAGAAGGCCTGGAAATCCCTAGGTTTGATGGGATTTGATGAGAACATTTTTGGATTATATAACTGAGATGACTTGTCTCTTTTTGATGGGATATAGAATGGGGTTTAACCAGCCAAAAACAGGGATTCAACCACTTGATCAGGGAAATTGGAGTTCACCAATCTAAAAATAAGGGGTTTGCTTCCCAAGTCATAGCAGTTTTAATAGGGAACATGATGATAAACCAGTGGATTTAGTAGTACCGTGTTTTCTGAGTTTACGCAGATCATAAATGGAGAAACCTTCTTAGACCAGTCATTGACAGAAGATAGACGCTGAGTAGTGTAGAATCCCTGGAAAACTATTCAAGTTTCCGGGCATTCAAATAAACTTGTAGTGCCATTTTCATCCAACGGAAGAATTTTATTCCATACAAATTTCACAGGAGAAACGCCACGCATGATTGTGAACATGCTGACAACATGCATTAAACACACAGATAATCACCAAAAATCCTACAGCTAAATCATGGTCATTAGGGTAAATTGCCGGTAAGGGGAATCATCCCCATTTTTCAAAGTGGTTTATTTCAGGTTGGTCCTGCCATAGCCACAGGTCCGCAGCGCAAGCTCCTTGGAGGGGATCTTGATGGCGCACAGAGCCTGTTTGGGCCACTGCCTGGTGGGGATGCCTGGCGTTCACCGGTTGACCCTCCAATTGGCGGTCAAGAAACCGATTCCCCTCCAAATATGGAGGTTTTCCATGGTTTTCCATAAAAAATCCTACAAGTAAATTTCGCCTCTGGGCCTCTGGGACTCTGGGATTCCGTCCAGAGGCAAAAGCCTTCCTAGACACTTCGCGCCTGGAGGGGGCGCAGGATGCCCTGGCGGCGGTGGTGGGAATCTTGGACCAGGCAAGTAGCGCTGGAGATCGCTAGATGCTAAGGTCTCATGAGCGATGTTTATCATGATGATGATATATATCATGATGATGGATCATAATGCATCAGATTGAGTTATTGATTATGTCAGCATTTTTGGGGCAGATCTCCATCATTGTTTGTGAGTCCATCATATTTTGCAACACGCGGTGTTTTTCCGTCAGGCGCTGCAGCTGCAATGCCTGTTGGAGGAGGCGGACAGATCATTCGCAGTTCCAAAATGTTCCCACGTAATTTCAAAGCTTCCTGCGCCGTCCAGGTAGCCTCCCACATGTCCCACATTCCCATATTTTCTGATTCAAATGACCACATCTTGGAGGTAAATCCACCATTCTTGGGTCAGATTTCCAAACCATCGGGTCGCATCGGAGCAGGTAGCGGCGCATGCACCACGCAGCTTTCCGGTTGGAACTCCCCAGAAACATCGCGCTGTGGGGAGAGCCATGACTGTTTTTTTTTGGTGGTAGAGACGGGGACATATCCTGTGAAGCCACGGAAATCATGGATAAATGTCATGGAAAAACTTGAACATTGAACTATATTGAAACATTAAGTATCATGGAAAGTTCATATCACAGAAAATCACATTGTCTCGTGGAAACTCCCGTTTGGGCCTGAGGCCTGGGCCTACAGCCGTGTCCACACCATCCACGGCGTTTTCCTTGACCTCAGGAGGGTCCAAGCGGCAAACGGATGCACTTTGAAACGCTTTGTATGTGGAATCCTGGAATTATCTGGAATCCCATGGGGGAACAGATGCATGAAGAGGGAACATCTTCAAGGGTCGCCAGTCACTGCCAAGACAAGAGACTTGAGAGTTTTCAATGGATTTCGGCCACCATTTCCATAGAAATGTGCAGAGACCTTCAGTCCGAAGGAGAAGCCTTCAGCTTTGTCGCCCAGGCGTGATTTCGGGCTATGGCTATCCCATATTAGAGGAGTCGATACAATTTTTGCACTACTTGGGGACATTTCAGCTAGCCCTGATGATGGTGTCAAATTTCAAATCAATTTCAAATCAATATCAACAAATCTCAAAATCATAATCCCATTCGATCTCAGCTATCAAATCTGACACATCCACATCTTCTTTTGGTCAATACATGTGATGCTCCACAGGGTTTTCTTCATTCCAAGGCATCCAAAAACCCCGCGGCCGCAAGGTGGGGACGGAGGCGACGTTGACGTCTTCGAAGAGGAGCTCTCCAAGGGGATGATGTTTCTTTTTCAAAACATCATTCATAATATTGAGATATCAATCATTTATAATGTTTTATATTCCATAATATATAATTAATATATTAATATATATTATATATGATTGTTTAGATATATGATTCTGAGATTCTAGATCATCATTGATGTCATCACTAATGATGCTATATGGAAAATTACTCAAATTACACATCAACATGGCCCAGGACTTCTTGGAGGCTTGGCTGCTCCAGTGGCCCGATGCTCGGGCGAGGGCCGGAGCGCCGATGTTATGGAGTATTTCCAATGGACACTGTGAAGCATCCGTTTTTTTTTTCGGCATGATGTTAGCCGTGTTTTTTTTTTCTCTCTCTCTCTCTATATATATATGTTATATGTATATATATATATATATATCGAAAGTGCTACTTGGCTGGTTTCTGCACAAGTTTTCGACGGTCATTTTTTGACATTAGCAATGTGGCGGATGACGCATGGACATGGCAGACAATCGATAGCACTGGATAGCAACGGATAGCATGTGTTCTCTTTGGTCCAAGACCTCAGCCTACAGGTAGCCTGGGGTGTTCCACTTTGAAACATGCCCTACTATATTGTGTGTGCACTGCAGTGTATACAGTGTTTTG